TGAAGGTTTGGTTGGCAATAAAGTCGAGTTGATTGCCGTGGAGGTCAAGACTTTGCAGGGCATATAAAAAGGGGGATCCCCCGGCGACGTTGGTAACGACGAGATCGCTGCGGGCTAATTCAGTCAGGGCGTTGTTGGCGAGGGAGAGATGGGTAACTTGATAGGCGAGACTAGGAAAGGTGTCCCCAATGACATAGTCACAGTTGACAAACGTCTCGTCGCAATGGCAGACCTGAGAAGTACCGCTTGCTGTACAAGCTACCGAGGAATAAGCACAAAGTAGAAGCATGGGACGGTGAGGTGGAGATGTCATGGCACGTAGCAGCATGAGTCGTGGCTCACGGGAGGGGGCGTGCCACTCCGGACGAGGGTTGAAGCCACAGCACAGCGATACAATGTACGTACCAACGCGTGCAACGGCAGACACCACGGAGCTGGTCCAGGTAATGCTCAGTAGCATGCCCGCCAGCAGCACTGCCTGGCTGCTCGACCGCATGATCCCGCTTAAACCGCGCGACGCGCCAGCGCAACGACCAGCGACAAAACCACGTTGATTAACCAGGGAACGGTGAGGTGAGACGGAAAACTCAAGAGCGTCGAGTTGAACAAGGGCGTGGGCAAATGCAGCCACCCAATTCCGGCCGTCCATGCACGAGTAAATGCAATTTATATGCGTGCCACCGGCGCTGCCGCCGGTGTTGTCGCCGTCAAAGAGTGAGAGGGTGAATCGACGCGGAGATGTAAAGAAGAGAGTGTTAAGCACAAGTGGAGCTGGCTGAGAGACAGAGCTAAACAGTGTCAATATCTTCAGAGATACAAAGGCTTCTTATTTGGCTACCTTACCAAATTTCAAGGTGAAACTAGAGATTATTCGTTGTTTGTTAGATTTTGTAGAGGGACAAGGTGAAGTTGATCCCAACAGCAGAGATGTGCGAGACATCACTGGACGCCTGCCAGCTTTAGACCCTTGAAAAAGCCACCTGCAATATCTAGTGCATTTTATTCATATAGTAAGCTTTGCTACATTAAATGATATTCATCATCTTACAATTGTGCGTATATAAGCAAAGAATGACAGCCTTAGGCGTACACAACAGCTGTTATCAGTGAATAACGATTTTTGATGTTTCTCCTGCACCGCGTGGGCTCTCTCTCTCTCTCTCTCTCTCTCTCTCTCTCTCTCTCTCTCTCTCTCTCTCTCTCTCTCTCTCTCTCTCTCTCTCTCTCTCTCTCTCTCTCTCTCT